TAAGGCTCTGGATGTCCTTTGAAGTTACCGGTTCCTTCATGTCGAGGATTGCTTTGATCTTCTCGGGATTAGCTTCAATGCCTCGTTGGCTAATCATGAAACCTAAGAATTTGCCAGAGCCTACGCCGAAGGCACATTTGTTGGGGTTTAAACCTCATTCGATACCTCTTCAAAATAGTGAAAGTTTCAGATAGGTTGGTGATGTGTTGGTCAGCATGTTTGCTCTTGACTAACATATCATCAACGTAAACTTCCATGCTCTTCCCAATCTGCTCGGCGAACATTGAGTTGACTAGTCTCTGATAAGTCGCTCCTGCATTCTTTAGGCCGAAAGGCATGACTTTATAGCAGTATAGTCCTCTGTCGGTAGTGAAGGCTGTGTGTTCTTGATCCGAAGGGTTCATGAGGATTTGGTTGTATCCTGAGTAAGCATCCATGAAGCTCAGGAGTTCACACCCGGCCGTAGAGTCTATAAGTCTGTCAATAAGAGGAAGAGGGAAGCTATCTTTCGGACACCCTTTGTTTAGGTCGGTGTAGTCAACACACATTCTCCACAAGACCTTTTGAAGCAAAAGACTTTCTTTGGTCGGATTTTTCTTAACAAGGACCACATTTGCTACCCATGTCGGGTAATTGACTTCGCGGACAAAGCCTATGCCTTTGAGTTTTTCAACTTCTGCTTTCATTGCCTCGTATCGTTCAGCGTCATAAGATCTTCGCTTCTGTCTCACCGGCTTGATCTTGGGGTCAATACTCAAACGATGACAGATGACATCGGGAGAGATGCCTGGCATGTCCTCGTATGACCAGGCGAAGACTTCAGTGTTCTCTTTCAAAAAAGATATCAATGCTAACCGAAGGGGTGGTGACAATGTGGTGCCAATCTTCACCATGCGATCTGGATAATCTCTTGAGATAGGTACCTTCTCCAACTCTTCAGCAGGTTGGGTTTGCTGGGTGAAAAGAGTCATCTCGAGGATCATCGGGTTGATTGTTGCTATCAGGAAGATCCAAGTTCGCTTCATCTAGGCTGGTCTTTGTGACTTGGTCATGTACAGACAGGGTTTCCTTGGGTCGGGCGGGCAAGTGTTGTTGCTTAACTGAAGTGTTGTAACATGATCGTGCACTAAGCTGATCTCCTCTGATGTAGCCGTTGCCATGGGGGGTTGGAAATTTCATCAACAGCATATGCGTGGATACCATAGCCTTGAGATCATTGATGCCTGTGCGCCCAAATATGTTATGACATTGTATGTTTTGGGCAGTCAACCACTAGGAAGTTAGTGGTAATGGTAGCCGTGTAAGGGCCTGTACCAATAGTAAAGGGTAAATGTATGCTCCCTAAGGGTTGCACGATATCACCGGAGAAGCTTATCAGAGGAGAAATCGAGCGATCGAGCAAGTGTTCAGCTACACTGAGTGCCCTGAAAGCTTCAAACATGATATTGACCGAAGCCCCTGTGTCTACGAGGATTCGTCGAACATCAAAGTTGGCTATGTGAGCCTCCACGATCAATGGGTCGTTATGAGGGTAGATGATGCCTCTTTCTTCCTCAGGGTAGAAACATATCGGATCCCAGTTAGGCTTTTGATACTTCCCTCCCCTGATGTCTTCCACGTGAAACACTTGGTGACCAGGCCTCAGAATTCGTTCACTGTTTTTCATGGCCCTATTGGAAGATTCAGATATGGGTGTGCCGCCGCTTATGGAATATATGACATTCACCTGGCGTTGGTTACGGTTATCCCTTTGAGGGTGAGGAATTGATCAATTTTTCCTTCTCGTGCCAAAGCTTCAATACGATCACGGAGGATGATACATTTCTCGCTATCATGGCCGTTATGCTCATGGTAGCAACAAAACATGCCTCGGCTTTGGCTTTGGTATCAGGTGAGCTATGCTGGGGTAAATGGCCGCGCATGTGGCATTCAAGGGCGTGTATGTCTCATACCTTGGGGTAGGGGGTATCTTGACGCGGGTTTGACCCACTGCATTGACTGCCTGGGGGCGAGCGTTATTGTGGCGATACCCTTGGTTATCGGGATAGTGTCCCTTACTCTTTTTACTGAAAGGAGAGTGAGGATGGAAATCCTTCCTCTTGCCTTGAAATTGATATGTCTGTTGATTCGGTGAAGCATTATGCAAGGCATGGGGAGGTGCCACTGCTGTTTGGAAAGTCGAGGTCTTCTCATTTAGGTGAGTCTGGCTTCCACCTCCCACTTGTTGATAAAGGATGGTTGTAGGGGGTTTCTCCTGATATGTCTTTGCCTCGGCGGAGGCATGGTTATAAGCCTGCGCCATCACCTCAGAGTAAGTCTTCCAAGTATTGGCATTGATCATGTATTTAAAGAAACAATCACGTAGGCCTGCCGTGAAGGCTTTGAGGGCAGTCTTGTCGTCTGCCTCGGCACACCGGGAGTATTCATGGCTAAAGCGGCCAGCATACATACGTAATGACTCGTCTGGCTTCTGGCGGATAGTGTACAAGTCATCTGCAGAGTGCAAGCGATCGGTTTGGAAAATGTGTTGGGAAACAAATAGTTTCCTCAATTCCTCAAATGAGTCTACCGTCTCAGGTGTAAGACGACAATACCAATTTAGAGCTCCACTAGAGAGGGTGGAGGGGAAGAGAAGACATCGCTCTTCGTCGGTGTGCATCCGGTATGCCATGGTGGACTCAAAGAGGTTAAGGTGCTCAATCGGGTCCTCTTTTCCAGTATAAAGTTGCAAGCCAAGCTTTTGCTTTGTCTTTGCTTGAAGGGGGTGTTGAGGATCCTCCTTGTAAGAGGGCCAGGCCTGGGTTGGTTCCAGTCAGGTATTTCAGCCTGACGTTCAGCCTTCAACTTGTTTACTTCCTCAAGAAGTTGTAGGACAAGGGGGTCCTGAGCGGAGTTATGTGTCACTGGAGCTTTCTTTCGTAAATCTCCATCTCCTATTGGAATTAGGAAGGTTTGATCAAGGGCATGTGATTTTTCCCTGGACTCGCTGTACTGGCTTCCAGGGTATGTCTGTCGGAACACCTCTGAGTCCCCTGTACCCTCATGTCTCTCTAGGACTTGTTGCCCCTTCCCCAAATTGGTGGCCGGCTTGGGCCGTGGCAGGGGACCGAGTCTCTCAGAAATCCTTGGGTCATTGATCTTTGAGCTTATATGGATGGAATTCTCTCGACGTTGCTTCAGGAAATCCCGACAATCGCGAAAGACGGCTTTCGATCCTTTCTGCCCCTTCAGCAAAGAGGTGTCTCCCTCCACTTCTCATGGTTCGGGTCGAAGCAACTGGGTTAAGAGAGAAGCCTCATGTTGATTATCAAGTCGAGGGGTAATCTGTTCCCTATCAGGGATATCTATGTCGAATGCATGTGACCCTCCATGTTGGAGGGCACCCAGTTGATGGTTGACTTCCACGGGGGCAACAAGCTCGCGTGTCTGAGCTTGCCTAGCTTCGTGGAGTGTCTCGAAGAGCTTCTCATATTGCTCCTGGAGGACCTCATTCTTCATTGCTATCTTGTTGTTCTGAGCTTCCAACTCATCGACTTTAGCTTGAAGAAGAACTCGTTTTCCTTCCTTCTTTCGTTGTTTCGCACTATGTGCAAGGGGGGTGTCATTCTGTGTGCTGTGGCTTCCTTCGCTTCCCATGTTGGAGAGGGATGCCTGGTCAAAAGAAAGTGTACGAATGATAGAAACCAGCTTGACACAGCTGAAGAGAGTAGGAATAAGTGTCGTTTCCCACAGACGGCGCCAAATGTTGATGCACAAAATCAGCGAGGACTTTGGTACAACAGAAAGTGTCAGGTTTTTGTGACCTTCGCTTGGTTGCTTGGTTGCTTCAGTCACTAGTGAGGATAAGTACGTAAATGAATAGAGACAGAGAAGCAAACACAGGATGTACGTGGTTCACCCAGATTGGCTACGTCCACGGAGTAGAGGAGTTCTTATTAGTAGTGAAGGGCTTACACAAGTACAAAGGATCAAGCTCTCAATTTAGTGAGTTCTTGTGAATGATTTAACACAAAATGGCATTAGGCAATATTGTGGGGGAATGACCCCTATTTATAGAAAAACTTGTAGCTTTGTCACATTGACATGTGTCATGTTGTGATTGGTTCTTGATGTCGACACGTGCTGCGCTCTGATTGGCTTCTAATCTTGACACGTGTCGAGTAGTGATTGGCCTCCTGGTCGGAGGGGAACTCTTCTGGGTCCTTGACAGTATAGCGTTGGCCGGTGCTCGGTAGTTTCGGGATTGGTCAAGTATGGTACAAACATTAGGCATATAGCTATGATTAATGAAGAGTCCTTTAGACTATCCCCTATTTCCTCACATAGGTGGACTCCTTCGTACAAATATATTTTGACATTTAGAGGGATCCAAATGTTTGCCTTAGATGAGTTTGAAGATTTTAAGTATGATATGATATTAGTAGCAGAAGAGGAAGATATGTATATTTACAGTAAGTCAAAAGCCAGTAATCAATCATACTTGAAGCCTCAAAATTTCAAAGAAGAAACAACAAAAATGTACTGCAAAGTAAAAGAAGATAGAGAGATATGCAGAGCTGGTAGAAGTCGGTGAACAGTACTGGAATGATTTGACAGAAGAAGAGCTACATAACATTGACAACATGATGGAAGCTTGAAGAACTGGCAACAAATTAGCAAAAGTAGCATAAGATGAATAACATCATGCAAAATAATGTATTGTAATCAGACAAAAATATCAACATCATTATAGACCCCGCTACAATAATGAATAAATGACATAAGAGTAAAGGGAAATTTTATTTACACCCAACTATCTTATCTTCAAACCCAACTTAAATATTTTTGCCATTAAACTCTCCATTTTGCCCTGACGTTATTTAAAAAGTAAAAATAAATTAAAAGAACATAAACCCACGTATCTGCCCACCATTTTCTGGCGTCTTCTTCACTGACGCCGGCATGAATCTCTTGTTGCCAACACCTCTAAACCACCTCATCTTTCGTATTATCTCTCTCCTCTATTTCTCACACTCTTCAATCATAACGCCGGCATCGGAGGTTCTCACATATTTCTTGCAACCATAGCCTTCTTCACCGTACTTAGGACGCTCAGAATCAGAATCATCGTCGCCGCACCTCTCATAACCACCAGGGAGGCGGTACTTCTGCTCCTCGCTCCTCCCATAACTGGGCTTCTCATACTCCCCACTTTCCTAGCCCTCATAGCCGGGCCTCATATAGCTTGGCCTCAGGGGTGGTGGCTCATCTCCATAGCCGGTCCTACTCAACGGCTCTTCGTCGTAACCCGGCCTCTCAAACTCAGTCCTCCCATAGCTCGGCCTCTCCTCGCTTTCTGGCGTCTCATAACTGGGCCACTCATAGCTTGGCCTTCTCGGTGGCTTTTCTCCATAATCGCCTTCTTCACCATAGCTCGGCTTCTCGGCGGCTTATCGCCATAACTAGATTCCTCACCATAGCTCGACTTCCGACCATTCCCAGATCCGAATTCAGCTGGCGGTGCTTCAAACTCAGGCTTTCGACCGTACCCAGATCCATATTCGGACTCCGGTGCCTCGTACTCGGGCTTTCTCCCGTACCCATATCCATACTCTGGTTCCGGTGCCTTATACTCAGGCTTTCAACCGTATCCAGATCCATAATCCGTTCCGGTGCCATATAAGGTGGTTGTGATGCTAAAAGAATTTGAATTGAAGTTTCCATGGAGAATCGCCGGTGAATCTTCCGTGGGGTTTGAGGTGGAAGAGAACCACTGGGTGTGGAAAGAGATTTCAGTTTTGTTTATTTCTTTTTTTTTTCAGTTTTAATCAAAGGGTGAATTAGGAATTTTAAGAAAATATTTTTTGTTTTGAGTGTAGAAAGAGGTTGAATGGGTTCCAATAAAATTTCCCAAGAGTAAATAAAGAAAAAAACTTGGCCCATTATAGACTTTTCATACATAAAATATCTTTTTGATTAAAAATAAACAGTGAAATGCCCTTTTTATCAGAACTCCCAAAAAAAAAAACCTTATTTATTATTATTTTCTTTTCTTTTTTTTCTCTTCCAACGAACCGCGAAAGCCGAAGCGTTTCTTAAACCCGCACAGCAAAACTGGTCAATGCAGATCCCAACTCAATTTGCATCGAAATTAAAATAGTCTCCAACTAAATTCAAATATTTCAAATAAAAAAATTGGTCTACCCACTTCCGTTCAGGTGAACACTCTGTCTGTCTCTCTCCACTGATTCTCTGGTGCGTTTCTAGGGTTTTGTTCCCTTCAAATCTCCAATAAAGACATTCTCTTCCCCCTTTTCCCCTGTTCCTTCTCACGCAGCTTACCCAAAACCCTAATTTTGAATTCGATTGCGTCACATTTAGGGTTTAAGATTCGCCAGCTGATTGTTTCCCTAACATGGTTTTCATCAGATGAGGTGTGAATTTCTAGCGTTTTTGAGCTCCGGGTCTGTCAATGGGAGCGCTAACCAGCAATCGTAAGCGAGGGGACGAGTGTTTGAGCTTCAGTTGTGCGCACCCATCTCTGAATTTGCCGAATTTTCAAAGCTCGAAGCGACCCAGATTGTCTCATATGAATCGGAGCCCGATCCGACTCATTATCTCGTCTAAAAGCCCCGGTTCAAGGCTCTCTCGGTACCCGGATATAAAGCCGCCATTGCCTAGAGTTCACGCCCCTTGCAGAACACAAAAATTCGGGTCCTTTCGCGATTCGAGTTCGAAATCCAGAGGGGTTCCTGGGGAGCGGTCGTGTGACGTAATGGGCAATATACTGAGTTACCATTTGGACAAGGCAAAGAGCGATGCCTTTGGTGCATTTCGGTATTCAAGCAAGGACAAGGAGGTGATTGAATTGGATAAGGAGGTTGAAGATGACCGGGTTTCCGAGGATTCGAGCATAGAAGAAGTTGTGGCTATAGAGGAAGACGACAGGGAGGGGCCTTCTGTGGTGGATTATGGGCCGGATTTGGATACGAAGATGGTGGATTGTGGAACTCAGGTTACTCATCCATCGGCTGCTTCAGTGGTTCCAGACTTGCCCACAACTACGAACGCCCCTTTCAAAGTGGACAGTGCAGGGAAGATGTTGGACTCACTGTCGCTGAATCACGAGGCAGGTGTGCCAAGTAAGGCAGCATACAAGCTGTTGATTGAGAGTGTAGAGAGGCGGACGCCGAAATTGAAACATTTGGATTCCCAGATTGACTTCCATTGGAAGAAACGGTCTATGCTTGAATCGCTGCGTCCACAAAAGAAACAAGAGGAGGTGAGTTTTTTTTATCGTTTTGCATTAACTTTCTACCTGTTGTAAACTATAAAATATCATTTTCATTTCTTTGGTTATCTGGGGTAAGCTTGGTTTGTAGTTTGAAGTTGTTACCGATTCTGAAGTTAAAAAGCTTGTATCAACCTGTAAGTAATGATTGGGAACGAATTATGTGCTCGAGAGTCTTAATATGCTGTTCCCATTTCTTTTTAGGTTGTGCCCATTGAACCATTTGTCGCTCTTAGAAAGGAGGAAGTGGCCCAGATTGAGCAAGCATTTTCTTCCTCCAACCGGTAGGGATTTATGCATATATATTGGTTCATTTTGAATTGGTGTGTGGTAAACTCTTAACGGTGTTGGCGTTCCTTCAACAGGAAGAGGGTCTTGGTAACTCATGAGAACTCAAACATAGAGATAACAGGTGAACTTCTGCAGTGCCTTAGACCACGTGCATGGTTGAATGATGAGGTATTATTAGGTTACATGTTTACGTTTTTTTTTAGCAATGACAAAAATTAGTTTCATCATTAGATTTTGTTTTTAATGGTTGATGGGGGACTTATACGGGTTTACAAAACTAGTAATTTATTTTCTTGATAACGTGGACTTTCTTCCTTTTCAGGTCATAAACGTCTACTTTGAATTGCTTAAAGAGAGGGAGAAGAGAGAACCGCAAAAGTTCTTAAAATGTCATTTCTTCAACACATTTTTCTACAAAAAGGTTTGTAATTTGCATGTACTCTTTCTTCTTCCATCTTTTACTCGTGGTTCTCGGCACATATTCGTATATGCATATTCTGTTTAGTTCTCTTTTTTTTTAAAGTCAGAAGAGTTTGGGAAATATTTGTTGATGTCATTAGTTTGTCGTCTAGATAAGTGCGTACTGTTATGAGTTATATAAATTCTTATCACTCCTTGATTTACGAAACTTCCATGAGACAATTTATGTTTGGTGAAGTAGAAAATGTTAATAATTTGTAAAGCTCTAATTCCAGTTTGTTTCAATTGGTCTCATGGTGGTGCAATTTCATCGATCTTTAGGACAAGTCTCGTCTGAGTTGTGGCTGATCTAAAAAATTTGATTTGAAGTTCAGGATAAATCAGCCTGATATAAGCCTGACCCGATATGCCCCAGTCGTTTCTCTCATTGTTTACGTATATTATATTTTAATCAACTTTCGGCCTGAAGATTGGGCTGGTTGAGAGCTCAGTCATGTGCTCATTAGGCTAACCGCAGACAAGGCCTGTCAGCTCAGCCCATTCACACTCCTAGACTCCTAGTAATAATTTGCATAGATTGGGTACCATATTGCTGTCCGATTTAAGATATTGATTTGTTTTATGTGCTCTTATTTACTGAAATTCAATGTGCAGTTGATAAGTGGTAAAGGTGGCTATGATTATAAATCTGTCAGAAGGTGGACTACCCAAAGAAAGCTGGGATACAGCCTCATTGATTGCGACAAAGTAACTTCATTCAAACCTTTTGCCCTGGACCATATGCTCAATTCTACTGAAATTACATTTATTTCATAAGTGGTTTTCTTCTCAGATATTTGTTCCCATCCACAAAGAAATACATTGGTGCTTGGCAGTTATTAATAAGGTGGATCAGAAGTTACAGTATCTTGATTCACTCAAAGGAAGGGATACCCAAGTGATGAGAATATTGGTACGTTTTGTTGTCATCTTTTGTTTGGCTCTTGATAAAATTTATTGATGCATGGTGCTTGCCCTCGTCAACATCTGTTTGATTTTATTTTTTTGTGGTAAGTGGGTGTGGGACATTTACATTTTTTTATAAAACTAAAAGTTTTGCCATTAGTCGGTATTCCATAATTTTCTGCTACTGTTTACTGAACCATCTATATGAATTGTCTGGGTTTTAAAAGTGTATAAAATCATCTTGTTAGCCTTGCCGGAACTTGGGAAGAATATCCCTCCCTGCATTCTTGATGTGTTATGCAATATGCACATAAAATTATTGAATCCAAAGCCATTCTCTACTCAGAAACATTTTTGTCGTCATGCTGTCTGAGCAACCATTTCATCAATTAACTCTTCATTGTAAAAAATGTTAATTGGTGGCAAGTGATATTTAAAGTAATTGTCTAGAAGTTTGAAGGCCAAAAGTAGTGCAGACAGTACACTTCTCATTTCTTACATAGTCGAACTTAATGATTTCCCAACCAACCCTTTGAATACTATAGTTTATTTGCCTCATTTTGACGGACAAAAGAAAGCCGGAAGATACTAGGGTCACCTTTTAGTTTATTCATCTTTTTCTTTTTCCTTTTCTCGATTCTTATGGCAGGCCCTCAAAATGGTAGGAAAAGTAGCTAGTTCGTTCAATTAATTGAGTTGCAGCTAACGTTCACTGTGTATGTTGGCAGGCTAAATACTACGTTGATGAAGTGAAGGACAAGAGTGGAAAGGATATCGATTTGAGTTCTTGGGAATTAGAATATGTTGACAACCTTCCTGAGCAGGAGAATGGGTAGGCTAACGTGTGCATGTCTTGACACTTGCTGCAAATAATTTTTATTTTCTTTTGCGAACTCTTTATAATCAATTGTTCTGATCAATTATAATAGGTATGACTGCGGCGTTTTCATGGTTAAATATGCGGACTTTTATAGCAGGGATGTTGGGCTCTGTTTCAAACAGGTAAAGCTCATAGAGATGCTTCTGTTGCTAATTCATATTTATTTGACTGCACATGCATTCAAACCATTAGAATGGGAAATCATAGCGAATAATTCTAGGGGGGAAATCTCGGGAATGGCTCCTCCTGTTTTATTGCTCTTTCCTCTCCTAGTAGTATGCCATAGAATGATGAGCAGTTGGATAGATTTCCATGAAAAACTTGCACTACCAACCATTCCTCGTTGTGCTGAACAACTTTTAATTAGTATGATTCAACCCTGTTTTTATTGTCAATGCAGAAACACATGCCATATTTTCGGTTGAGAACAGCGAAGGAGATCCTAAAATTGAGAGCAGACTGATTGTGTCTACGAAGCTAGCTTTTGACATGCTGTAGTATCAATTAAGAGAGCGATTAGCAACTAATAGATGTCATCAGGAAGTAGGTGTACCAATCAATGTGTACATTTCATTCATATAACGTTAATGCCAGTCACGTGCCAGCATCGTATTTTTTGAATGATTTAAGAGTTGTCTAGGCGAGGTGAGTCCTGTAAGTCGAGGCTTATCAAAGCACGATGCAGAGAGTTTCAAAAGCTTTCGGTATAACCTGAACACAAGTCCTAGACTGCAAGTTTCCTTTTGGTCCTTGTATCCTGGCCATTTGCCTTCTGTCTGTGATTTAAGTTGGTTTAACAATTGTAAGACAAGTTTCCTAAGGAATATCAAAGTTTCATCTGCTTGGGCCAATATTTTGGCGGTAAACTGTATCTACTAATTGCCCCTTGTGTATTTAGCTTGAATACTTACATGCATCTAATACAATCAGCATCTCGATGGTCAGATGACAATTGTATTAAATATATATTCGCCTCTTCCAAGATTTGGAAATATAAACAAGGCAAGGCACCTAGAGTAGCACTCGACCCCCCTCGCGAGGGTCCATCAGCAGTAATCGAAATCTCAAGTGGTTAAAACTGTAGGACCTGCAAAAGTAAACGCTCTTAATCATTTG